AAACCAGCAGCAGCAGCAGCACCATCAGCAGCAAAACCAGCAGCAGCAACAGCAAAACCAGCAGCAGCAGCAGCAGCAGCAGCAGCAGCAGCACCTTCGAACCAGACGAGAGAAGACCTGCAAGCTGCTGCTTCCAAAGCCTCCACAATTTGAATTCTGCAGTCAACTGAAAGAGAAGCATTTTGCATGCGGAGGCAGCGGAGGCGGCCGCAGCGCAGCAGCAGCAGCAGCGCAGCAACTGCGTCCAGGTCTATCCTGCAGCACACAAGCAGCAGCAGCAGCAGCAGCAGCAGCAGCAGCAGCAGCAGCAGCAGCAGCAGCAGGGTGGGTTCTTCACTTCCAGGCCACCCAAGACTCCAGCAGCTTGTGCTGCTTCTCTCACAAATATAAAATATAAAAATAAAATAATAAAATAAAATATTAAAATAAAATAATATAATAATATAAAATAAAAGTTAAATAAATAAATAAATAAATAAATAAATAAATAAATAAATGTAAATAAATACTCAAATGCACAAATTGCTGCTGCGCGGGCTTTCCCTTGTGGGCAAACAGCTGGGACTTACAGCAGCAGCAAAAGACTTCCAACGAATTTATTTAATTAAATATAATTAAATTAAATTAAATTAAATTAAATTAAATTAAATTAAATTAAATTAAACTAAATAATTAAATTAAATCAATTTAATTTATTTACATTTATGTTCATTTGCAAAGTTAAAGAAAAACGACAGGCACACACTGCGTGGACGCAGCTGCTGCAGCGCCGTAGCTGCCAAAGGCGCAAGCGCCCCCGCTGCTGCTGCTGCTGCAGCAGCAGCAGCAGCAGCAGCTGCTGCTGCTGCTGCTGCTGCTGCTGTGGACCCACGTGTTTTCAGATATGTTAAGAGCCCGCAGGGTGGGGGGCAGCGCCTGCAGCAGCAAAGCCAAAGAGCTGCTGGGCAGCCGGCAGCGAAGAGAAACGCTGCAGAGGCTGGGGCCCTGCTGCTGCAGCACTAGCCTGCAGCAGCAGCAGCAGCAGCAGCAGCACAAGCAGCAGCAGCAGCAGCAGGCGCACTAGACTGCTAGACACACAGGGACGGCCAACTGTAGTTGTGACACCGCAAGGGACTGCAGCAGGAGCAGCAGCAAAGGCAGAGAGCAGCAGCAGCAGCAGCGCCAAAGACAGGGAGCAGCAGCAGCAGCCGTAGCTGCACCAGCAGCAGCAGCAGGATGTGCAGCAGCAGCTGCTTACTGCAGCAGCTCGAGAACATCCGGTGTCCACTCGATGCCCACAAGGTCCAGCTGGAGGTGTCTCAGGACGGGGAAGCTTTGCTGCTGCTGCTGCTGCTGCTGCTGCTGCTGCAGCTGGTGCAGCTGCTAGAGAAACTTACTTCTGTAGCGGATGCGGTGTCCGAACATTGGACTCCCCTGAGGAGCGGCACAGCAGCAGCAGCAGCTGACACTTCAGCAGCAGCAGCAGCAGCAGCAGCAGCAGCAACAGCAGCAGCAGCAGCAGAAAGAAAGGCAGGAGCACAAATCGGGGGGAAGCCGCACCTCTGTTAGTTCTTGGCGAAGGTGTGCATACACTCGAAGACTTGGCAGCAACTGCAGCAGCTGCAGCAGGTGCAGCAGCAGCTGCAGCAGCAGGCGCAGCAACAGGTGCAGCAGCAGCAGCAGGTGCAGCAACTGCAGCAGCTGCTGGAGATCGTGCTGCTCGCTTCTTCTCGCGTTTGCATGAAGATCCACAGCTGCCTGTAGCATCTTTTGCTGCTGCAGCAGCAGCAGCAGCAGCAGAATCAGCAGCAGCGGGAGACCTGCCCTTAGCAGCAGCAGCAGCAGCATGGCGCATTTCTGCTGCAGCAGGAGGGCCCCCGCGGCGTCTCTTTTGAAGCGGCGGCCTTCGTAGCTGTCGCATGCTGCTGCTGCTGCTGCTGCCTCTGCTGCTCCTGCTGCTGCTGCTGCTGCTGCGCCTGCTGCCCCTGTGGGCAGCAGCAGGAGCAGCAGCAGCAGATGCAGCAACAGCAGCACGAGCAGCAGCACTCGAGTCTTCATCAGCAGCAGGCTCGGTAGATCTTTCAGCAGCACGGGGGCGGCCAGTGTGTCTGCTGCTGCTGCTGTTGCCGCTGCTGTTGCTGCTGCTGCGGATGGTTTTCACCGCCCGAATGCTGCTGCTGCTGCTGCAGCCTCTGCCGCTGCTCCTGGTTGTGAGGGCAGCAGCAGCAGCAGCAGCAGCAAGTTTAGCTGCTGCTCTGCTGCAGCGCTTTCTGGAGGCTCGCATCAGGATGCTCCTGCTGCTGCTGCTGCTGCTGCTGCTGCAGCCATTCCTGCTGCGGCTCCTGCTGCATGCCTGGCCACTTCCGCGGCCCAGGCCGCTGCCCCGCAAGCTGCTGCTGCTGCTGCTGCTGCTGCTGCTGCTGCACCTGCGGCTGCTGCTGCGAAAGCCTCCAAGGTGCTGCAGTGTCTTTTGCTTCGTGGGATTATTTGAGACGAGAGAGCGAAGGTGGCTGTACGGCAT